CTGGCTGTTTCTGTAACTCGACGCTCAAGGAGCAAACACCCCGAGCGTTACCTTTTGGAAGATCATAAGGAATTCTTTTCACGCTTTGGTCTTCTTACTCGCTTCGTGTTCCTCATACCACGAATAGTATTTGGGACTGTACAAAAATCTTCATAATTTGCCAAATCATTTTTTGGAACCCGTTCTTCATAATGTTTATGCACTTTTTTTCAGAAACACGGATAACGACTGGCTGGCTTGGCTTGAGTGATAGTGACAAGCTTATTTTTTTCTGTATGATGATCCATTGCATAGATGTATGAATTAATAAATATTGCGCTTCCTCTCGATTTGAACGCTTTACAAAGGGTTTCAAGGCAAAGTCTGGAATCGAACTAATGTATTAAGCCGCAGTAATGACAACACGGAAAGAAACCGTCGAGGAGGGCGAAAATAACGTCACCATTTTTGGTAACGATGAAGCGAAATAGCATTGCTCTGTGGGTGGGATCAGGTGATGGGCGGTGCCAGTGCTGCATCCTAGGGACTTAGAACCTCGTCCTTGTCAAACCCATCCCGAAAGTTGTGCATATGCTCATCGCTTGCGTACGACTGCTTTCGTCTCGTGGAAAGACTTCATTTCGACCAGAAATCATTCGCTTTGCATTTATGAGTTCTACTCTGACTCTATGCCGTATATCACTCTCGCCTGCCCCTTTTAAGTCTCGAATAGGAGGGTTGAAGGCAGTGATGCTATAAATCGGTCTCTCTGTAGAAATGAAAGTGAAGCTGTCAAGAGGAGCGGTGAAGAAAAACTGGGTACTCGACAGAGACCCATTGGGCGGCGAGAACGCAGAGACTTAGACGGGACAGCGAACGAATTGCAGGACGTACTGTGAATTTGGCGTTAAGTTAAATGCTCGGGCTTTTGTGACTTTCCGTGACCCGTCGCGTGAATCGCATGAATCGCGCAAATCGCGAAAATCAGCGAAACCTGCGACGGATCGCGGATAGCCTAACGAATGAGGTTGGGGTACACCAGTGGCTAGCTCTGAGCTTCTCAGAGAGGAATTTCAGCGTAGGTGCAGGTGGCAGGCAGTACTCGTAGAAGGTGGGCTTTGGCTAAGTGCCAAGAAGACCAAGTTCCTGAGTTCTAAATAGGGAATAGAGCCAATAGACGGTCATGGAGAAATCATCGAACGATTGGAGAACTCCATATAAATCGAGAAGCGATCTAGTCGGCGATGGCGGTGTGCATCATGCAACGTGGCATGGATGAAATGAAATCGCATGGATGAAGGGGTCCAGGAATCTCTGTGATCAAAGGCAAGTGCTGGCCCCTGAAGAAGAATATCGAAAGCCAACTTCGCTCCGCTGAGATGAGGATGATCAGATAGGTCTGCGGCT